AGTTAAAACAAATCCCAGTATAGCTACTTTCTGTTGACGAATCTGACGTCCAGTATTAAAGGATTAGCTTAGAGATTTATGTATATATCTAAGTGTCTTTCAGTAGGCTACTAAAGTTAAATGTTATATTGAGAATAATCTGCTTCGAGGCAGGCAAGTTATTCATATTGTTCCTTTCTAGGCTGTTGGCCAATTTGGTTGTTGTTTCTGAGTGAAATGGGGACTGGAGGTGTTGTGTTATTAACGTCACTGGTTTTGTCAGAATTTCCTGTGGCCAGTTTTTGGTACAGAGCAGGCAGGCAGGAAAGAATCCCGTTCTGCTGAGCCTTCATACTGATGCGTATGGCCATTCTGTGAGTCATGTTTTCAGTCACGAGGCTCAGGGACAGTTCCTCGGGAGGTGCTGGGTCAGGGGGTTCTGGTGTAGCCCCAAGCGCACTGTCAGTTTATCTCAGTCTTACATACAGGCATTCTTGTCTGCTGGACACCATAAAGTGGACGCACTAGCCAGAACTTTGGTGGGTACCTCTAGAGCTGTCTCTTGTGGTTGTTCTCAGTTGTGAGATTGGGGGTAGGGAAAGGAAAATGTAAGCAATTGCCATTTAAAAATTTTTTTAAAAGTTGGTGCTTTATTAGTTATTTTAAATTACTCTAATCCATTTTGTTTATTAATCTGTTTAAAAATTTGTTTTCATTCAATCATTCATATGTATTTTGTTTTACAACTTTAATAAAATCTCAGAATAAAGTATTGTGGGGGCTTTTTGTTTTGTTTTGTTTTTGCATTTAGTCTCACTGGTTGGTATCTGGACAATAATTCAATTACTAAAGATAGTTTACAACAAAGATATTCAAACCAAAAGAGGACAGTATTGTTTTCTCCTCTAGTATTTGCCTATCTAAGTAGAAAGAATCACATATACTAGAATTGCTTAATTTTTACTTGGTTACTTCATATGATAAAAAGTATCTTATATTCAAGATGTTAGATCAGTTTAAATGAGATTATCCATTAAATAGCAATTTTGTTAGATTACTGGATTTTACTTTTAATAAATACCCAGAAATATAAAGTCTAGGGATTATTAATCCGTTTAATGAGATTTTTCCCGAGAACCCCACTGAATCATTGTGGCAAATAAGCAGCATTCCACATAATCTCTTCACAAATTCTGTTTGGTCTGCTTTACTTCACATCAGAATTGCAAATAAGAGATTCATTGCTAATTCCACTGAACTCATTTTTCCTAAACTTCGGGAAAAGGAATTCTGGACAGCTCCCTTTCTTCATCGTAGCTTTATTTAATTAAAAGATAAACACATTTCTAATAGAGCATTTCCAATTTTTTTATTATGTGGAATTTCTTCTAAGTAACGTCAAAAAACCTAAAAGAATCCTCAAAACTTGGATTTCTTTTATTTTTCTCATATTTTTATGTCATATACAAACTTTCCCCCCCACTGTACTAATTCCTTGAATTGTGAATGCAATAGAGAACTCAAACAGGGGGTTCTCCCCCTCCAAGGAGCTAGTTTAAATACAGGCTGAGTTCTATCGCATTACATTTTTTTTTAAATATTTTGTTTGTCACGTTAGGTTTCATTGTATAAAACACACATTTTGTTTTCTGTTTATTCGTGAATGTGAAAAGTTGTCTTCTGCTGTAATAGATGTTACAGCTCCAGGCCCCCTGCAGGGGGAGTGGGGGATGTTTCCACCGGTGAAAGCACTGCCTCTGAGTAGAACCTGACGCATGGAGACCCACCTCTGCCTTTCCGAGCTGTAAATCTACAGGAGATTGCTCATCTTGCTTCCTCGTAGCCACTGGTAGATAGTGGGATCATGTGTGCTTCTCCAACGAATGTCGTATAAGCTTAAGTGCATACATTTTTGCATTATATGTATTTAACAGGTATGCTTGGCAATAGAGTAGTGCAGATTACACTTTTTGAAATTTTAATAGTAGTCTAGCAAAAAAGGTACTTGAAAGACATCAGAAATGATGGGAAAGAGAAGCTTTTCCCCCCCATATGAGATGTAAGTCTGAACTTTCCCTCATCTTGTTGTCTAAATTTGGTTCTTCACAGATCCATTTCCTAAGGTTATAATTAGAAAAATGACTACCACATCGGCAGAAGGGTTCACTGTTGACCCAAAGGTGGTGTTCCTCTGGGGGTTTGAATCCACCAGCGTCTCCATGGGAGAGAAATAGGCGGCCTTCTCCTGTGCAGTTTTCAGCCTCTGAAAACCGCTGGAAGCTCAGCTTTGAGTTAGTTCTGACTTGAGAGCAATGAATGTGAGATTCTTTTAATATGTTAAAAAATTGTCTTAATACCTAGATACAGTGGATTGACATTACAGTTTTCTCTAAAATAATTTTCCATATTATTATGTGCCATTGAGTCACCTTCAATAGCTGCGAACCTTGCCCTGTTCTAAGCCAGTCTCACTGTGACACACCTACCCCCATTATCCCAGTTACTGTGTCAGTCCTTCTCATTCAGACTTTTCCTCTCCTGTGCTGACCCTCAACCCTTCCAAGCATGATGTCTTTCTCCAGGGGTTGGTCCCTCCCTCCTGGCGCCATGCCCAAAGTACGCAGCTGGATCTTCAAAATCCTTTACTTCAAAGAGCAGCCTGGTTTCACCCTCTCCAGGATGAACCTGTTTGTTCTCTTGGCAGTCCGTGCTATGTTCACTACTCTTCTCCGGCACTACAACTCAAAGTCATCAGTTCTTCTTTTGTCTTTGATCATTGTCCAACTCTCTGATGTATAGCAAGTAATTGCAAAAATCTTGGTCTGATCAGGCATTCTTTAGTCTCCAGACTGACATCGTTACTCTTCAGCACTTTAGAGAAGTCCGTGACAACAGCTTTCCCCAGAGCAGTCTGCCTTTTAATTTTTTGACTACTAGTGCTGGAGAGGGTTAAACCAGGCTGCTCCTTGGAGGCAAGGAGTCCAAAACTTCATCTGACATACTTTGGACATGTTGCAAGGAGGGATCTGTCCTTGGAGAAGGATGTCATGCTTGGGAGGGTGGAGAGACAGCACCAGAAAGGAAGACCCTTTATGAGGTGGATTGATTCAGTGACTGCGGAAATGGGGGTAGATGTGCGGGAGACAGTTAGATTGGCACAGGACGAGCAGGGTTTAGGGCTGTTGTACATATGGTCACTATGAGTTGCAGGCAACTCGACAGCACATAACTACAACAGTGCCAAGAGTGTTGTTGATTGTGGAGCGGAGCAAGCTGAAATTGTTAACAACTTCAAGCTCTTCTCCATTATCATGGTATTGCCAGTTGATCTAGTGGTGAGAATCTTTGTCTTGATATTGACCTTCAGTCTATAACGAAGACTGCAGTCCTTGACCTTCTGCAGCAAATGTTTCACATCTTCAGTTTCTGAGCAACGTTGTGTCATCTGCATAACATAGTCTGTTGGTGAGTCTTCTTCCAATTTTGGTGCCACATATTCCTCATAAGGTCCAGCCTTCTGAATATTCTCTGTCCTTTGTCCACTTTCCCCAGCTGTGCTTCTTGATTCTGTCCCATCTTCTCTCTCCATCTTTGCACATACTGTCTTGATTGCCTTGGAACAGCTAGCCCTTACTAGACTCTTAAGAAATTACTAAAATTGCTTAATTCACTTGCTTTACAGATACAGAAACTGAGATCCAGTTTTTCCTTTACAGTTCGAATCAGTGAAGGGTCTTAGGCATTTTCAGACTACTTTCACAACGGAAAACAGTGTTTTCGGGAAATTGTACAACAGAGCAGAGAAAGTTAATTATAAGTAGACTTGCCAGTGGATACCATGAATTTCAAAGCAGAATAGGAAAACTCATGAATACGACGCTGTAGCTAATTACTTAACTCTTAACAAATTCCTGGAAAATACGATAAAGAAATCTGTTATTGATCACCAGTTATCTAAAAAAAATTAGTTCATTCACCTTTGTCTGAGTCAGCCATAGTTGTTGAACTATTCATATTTGAGAATTTAAGTATATTCTAAGCTATCCATGCAATTTTTATATGTATAGTTCTTAAGGGTGCTTTTTGTTAGTATTATTTGAAAAAAATTATATATCAAAGAAGTTGGAATTTAAGTTACAGCCTCAAGTATTTACACGATTAGCATTTTTAGTAAAGGATACAACCCACTTTCTGCCCACAGGTGGAAAGGTAGAGGGCTATGAGGTGGTAAGTGTCTTTAACATTTTTGTAGGATTTTCTTTTTCAGTACTTTAACAAGGACTTAAGTGTATATATGAAACATGGCTATGATTTATATTTGATTATTTAGATATTATTATAATTTATCAAATAGTAGATTCACTGTTGTTAACAGATTAAATACCGTGGCTAGAAACTCTCTTCTGTTGGTTGAAGTGGTTTTTTAATTTATATTTATGCTAGAGCTTTATTGATAATACATAATAAGAAATTGTTTTATAGTGAATTTTCTGTTTAAAAAAGTAGTTTTTATCAAGAATGTTAGCTGTCTTTAATTTTCAGATTAATAGATGTTATACTATGATGAATTCCTGTATTACCTTGTTGGAATTTTTTGTATTTAGAAATCTAGACCACATTAATTTACACGTGGAAGTTTTCTGCCTACTAGTATTTTCCAGATGTCATTTTGGCATCTATTTTTTAATGTATTGTCATTGACATAAATTGAAAATTAATACTAGAGTTTTAAACAGTTCTCAAGAAAGTTTTATAAAAGTTAATGTTTTAACTCCTAAAATTTTATGAGGTATTATAGTCAGATAAAATTTATTTAGCATAATATAATATTAATTCTGTTTTTCCAGAGGTATCCCAGCACGCATGTAGATAATGAAAAATTCTTAGTCCTCATATATAATCTCCTTAAGGGTTCAAAATATTCTGTCAGTAGGATTGAAATCATCACAGAATAGGTGTAAAGTAGAGACTTGAGAATTTCCTTTACCTGAATATGTATTATGCTTTTAAATTTTTAATAGGACACAACCTCTATTGAAAAGATGTCAAACTGTTGTGAAGAAATGTAAGTATAAAAGTGAAATCTGTATTTTTTTTTTTACCCTGTAAAGACTGGACCAGGTGGCCACATTTGATAAATGCGTACATTTAGAGAAAGAGAATGTCATGATAACTTTCTCTGGGTACTTTATCTGAGGCCTGAGGGAGGCACTTACACTGAGCGAGACAGGCAGACCCCAGGCTTGCAGTAGGGGTTCCCCCACCATGGTGGTTTAAACAACATAATACTGATCATTCTAGTTCCCTAACTACAGTAACTTAAATTATATGTCCTGAAAGTACATCAAAAGAGGTTTGCTACTGAGTTGTTGACACACATTCTGTTAATCCTGAGATTCTCCTTTGCTTCAAAAGTTGCTTTAGGTTGATTGACGACACAGATACAATATCTGCTATTCTGAGTTAAAAACTCAGCTGCATTCCGTAATGGGGGGGAGAAAAAGCACAGTGTTTGTGATGCTGGGACACAATTCACCAGAGTCCAGTAATGGGTCCCCAGCCAACCCTTATTGTTTTAGCTGACTGAAGTACACCATGGGAGTGCTGTCTTTCACTAATAATGCTGTCTTCTGTAGATCAAGGCCCCGAAAGCCATGGCAGCAGACCTTCTCAGAAGTTTTTGGCACTCGTTGGAAGATCCTGTGGTTCATTCCTTTCAGGCAGAGACAACCACTGCGAGTTCCCTACCACTTTGCCAATCACGTCTAAACAGATGGATGGTGGGCACAGATGGGTCCTCCATGCTGGAAACGCGTTACAGGTTTTATGATAATAGAACGATGACAGTCTTCAAGTCAATTAAAATCCACCCACCAATCTTAGACATCACAATGTGCCCCAGGCTTTATTTTAATAGTGATCTTGATCCTGTTGTGGGACTAATACGTGATCTATATTTAAGTTTTAAAGCATGTTTACTTTCAAATCAGCTTTCCACAGGGACTTCTTTAAATGCTTTCATTATCAAACTCAAAAGGCAGTGACTGGGATGAAATAATTGTACATAATTTCTTTTAGTGCTGACATTGTTATAGATTTTAATTTATGGGAAGTTTCAGATGCGTACTTTAATTTTTCACTCTTCAAGCTTTGCTAAAGAAAATCTGAAGTTAATTCTCTAGGTTTCACAAAAGTTGACGTACCTTCTAATATTGTGTGTAAAAATTATGTCTTCTAATACAATTTATAAGTCTTACTACATATTTTGATACGTGCTGCAAGATTTTCCAAAATGCAGCATAGGAATGAGCAACATCAGAAGGGGCAGTGTTTTCTGAGAAGTTCTCCTCTCCTTTGACACCAGAACCAAAATAAAAGTACCGCTGAAATAAAACACCACCACCTACCTACCTTATCTTGTAAGATTGCGATAACTTTCAGCATTATCGTTCTCGTATCTTTCCTCTAATGTTGTTACTGAGGGTTACAATAATTAGTTCTAGGAGAAATTTCTCAACAGTGAGCATGTATACCTACTTGATCCTAGGGTTTTGATGGACTAAAAAAAGTAGAGAATTTGCAATAATTCCACATGTACCTTTTCTAGTGCAGTTATATTAGAATGCATATGCTTTTAAAATGCTATTATAACTATATAATATACGATGTAATATAAAAAAAGAAATATTGTGCTTTTGAGAAAAAATAATGTACTTTTTAGTTTTACTTACCTACCAATAGACCTAAAATGAAATATTGAAAGTTTATATATAATAGATATTGGCCAACTAATATTGAAACTTTTTTATAGGAAATAATGCAAAAGTAAGTGAGTGACTTTATATACCTGTAATTTCCCATATTGAAATCAACTTTTAATTGGCCTATTATAATTGAAGTTGAGAGACCTTCTGTTAGTAGCTAATGTTAGGACAAGACCTTAAAATAAGAAAGTACAATCTGTATTTTTCATTAGTTTTATATCATTTCAAATTGCTAATAGTTGTAACTTCTAGGAGAACATAGAACATTTGTGTGAAAAGGTGTTTAGCATGCTTTGAAAAAAAGAATCTGCTTTTTATATTTTTCCCATGAGAATACTGCAAAAATCCGTATATCTTTTTTTAAAAGAAATTATTCAAAATATTTCACTTGAAAAGAAGATTAAAGGAAGTCACTATTCTTGAAGCATAGGGATATTTCTAGTTAATTTTCATAGGATATCATGAAAGGAGGTTACTTTGGTTAGAGAAGTAACTAAACTGTGGTTAGTATTTTTAGAAATTGTAAATATCTTCCCAAATATTATGAAATAATAAAATAAGCTCACAGAACTATTAACACCTAGTTTCTCATGTCTTAACTGTAATGCTTTATTACCAAAAACTTAGATGTTGCCGATGAAAGTATTTATTGGTGCTGATATAATGCATAGTATATTTATATAGCATAATGAAACACCAAATTAGCATATTTGTGTCAAGCACATGGGTTGCCTTTTGTGCAAGCTAACATGTTGACCACATTTGGCCTGGTGGCAGAACTAACCATAGGAAATAATTTGTGTAGATAATGTAGATACTGGTTTATTGCCTTATGTTATATGAATCCTTTTCAAATGAAAACCTTGAGAAAGCAGTCGAGCCAAACTGTGAAGGTTCCCTGAATTGCTGTATGATTATACTGACATTTCATGGAATAGCAGAGACCCCTTGAAACGTGCAGGGAGATACTGGGTGCTAATCCGTGTCTCTGTGAGAAGAACTGGACATGACCTTTCCCAGGTTGGGGGGTGGTGTGTGTGCTTCATCTCCCGCAGATGAACCACTGTGAAGGCACATTCTCTTCCTTTATCCTTTAACCCTGATGGCCCCAACCCCTCCTACCTGGTTCCTCTAGACTGCCTGGCTACGGAACTAGTAGACCAGATAGGATATGTTTCTTCTGTCTGAATGGCAGCAAGTGCTACATGTTAGTGTATTTATATGAGAATCTACATTAAAGTGTATCTATAAGATGCTTATACTGTGACTTTCAGTATTCTCAAATTAGCACACCTAACCCTGTTTAGGGGGTTTGTAAATCTTGTTAGACTGTGAGAGAGAAACGTAGAGGGCATTTTCCTAGGAAATTACATAAACTCTGATGTTCTCTCTGCGCCCTCTTTTGGCTAATTGGTGTAAATATACTGGCTCAAAGGAGATTTACTGCCCCTTGAGTGTAGTATGTAGCCAAAATCGGAGTGTTAGAAGTCAAAATTTAATGAGAATATTTGTACAAAATTGTAAAATTTTATGAAAATAGACATGTTCCTATGTCTGATACAGGTTTTAGTTCGTAAGCATGGGATGTCTTTTTACTTAGTTTCTGTATTTTACTGGTTTTTACCAGAATTCCAGAATTAGACCACAGTAAGTTCATTTCATGAATTTTACTATAGAGATTGTTTTGAGAAGTTAATTTCTTAGAATTGGGAGAACCTTTATTTTGAAATGATCAATTTGTTCTGAAGCCCAGGCATCGATTGTGGGCGTGGCAAGCAGGTAATCTGTGTTTTATTGAACACCTAAATATGATTTTTTAAAAAATTCTTTTTCTTACTAAGCATTAATTGAATTTCTAGAAAAGAAAGGTCTTTCCCTACATTTAGGAAATTGTATCAACTGAACTATTACATTGTCTGTTCTTTTCTGCAAACAGAAATATGGGTGGGCTTAATGTAGGCTCAGAGTTGTGGGCTGAATTGACTGAGTCTTCCAGACAGTAGGCATTAGGTGAAGAGCTTTTTGTACTTAGTATTTTTGAACTAAGTCTACAATATAAAGTGACCTCTGATGTTTCATACCAAGGAGATTTTTGTTTGCCGAAGAGTTGTATTAAAAAGATTTTTAGCTAACATAAGAGAGGCTAAAAATTGTAGTTACCCATTAACTAGCTTTAATAGAAGAAAGCAGAGTTTACTTTTAATAGTGATGGAAGTAGAGCACATAAATGTCATACTGTTGTTTTTGTGTACTCTTGAGTGGGAACTGACTCATAGCTGACCTTCCAATGGGTTTTCAGAGGCAGTAAATCACACTGGAGCAGAGTATCTGTCCTCGCACAGTAGAGCAGCTGGTGGACTAACAGTATACTGTTGGGTTGGGTAGTGTGCCTCCTTACCACTAAGCCACCAGAGCTCCCTAATTTCAGCATAGCAACTTAGTTAAAATTTATGTCAGATTTGCTAATGTTAAGGTGTATATTTTTTTTTCTAGAATTGGAGGCCAGTTACAGCTGTTCTTTATAGATGTTATTCCACGGCTACACAATTAGCAAGTTGCTAATAATGTGTCTTAGCCCAAATTTATTTAATTTTGAATGCTAATTGTTAAGACTTAAGGTAGGACAATACTTCCAGTCGGGAAGTATGCACAGACTAGATTAAAAAGCCATTTTCCTGAGTGTTGTCATAGGGCAGTGTGATGTGTCTACATGGGTAATATGCATGTCCTGTGTGGAGTCACAGTGTGTCAGACCCAGCTTTCCAGTGGCATTAATATTCATTAGCACTGCCCCTCGTCTAGCCCTGAACTTCTCTTTAGTCACTGACTGCTTCCGTGATCTTCATGTGTGAATAGGTAACTTAGCTCCAGTTCATAAAACTCGACTTCATTAAAGTTTCTGACATATCTTCTAACATATATTCATATTTAGAAGTTATTTGGTGAATTTTTCCCTTACAAATGTTAGATAGTATACTAATAGGTACGAGTACTAGATTATTTTTTTTAATCCAACTTTGCTATTATTGCTCAAAAAAATATGTATTGGCAGGTGTACTTTATAAGTGGTCATGTATATTTAGCCTATCCTACCTGCTAGTATTATTAACCGTATAATTAGCTAAGTGACTGTACTATGGAAGTTTTTGATTTGTTGTCTTCCATTCCATTTAGCAGGATCACCCTCTGAATTTTTCAGTAAATCTCAAATTTTATCATGCTGTGTAGTTAACCATTCTCAATTGAATTCTAGAATATGAGAGAGTAATAGATCCAACTAAATCAAAGGATACGGAGTCATTGCTGTTATTCTCTCAATCAGTATTTAGGATTATGATGACTTAGGAAAGTGCCTATTTTCTCTGGCTTCTTCTGTTTTCATTGTGCAATATTCCAAAGCAGAAATCTACATTTTCCTCTGCTCTTCAGATGTTGCAATACTGCCTGCTAGTGCTAATTTGAAATAGAAACAATGGTATGTAAGGTTTGTGTAATTTAAGAGGTTTCCCCCTTTATGTCATTTTTTCCCATCAAAATGTCCTTTTTTCAATTGTCTTTTCCTAGAGGATAGGTACAGATTACCTGTGAAGAGCTAAAACGTTGGATGCACATAGTAAGGGTACTTTATTAAGATGCAGAGGCGGCGAGCTGGAGCATGAAGTCTCAGCATCTCAGTAGCAGCTGGGTGGTGTTTCTGTGACATCAGACAGCTAGCTGCCTGTGGTAGTAATCATGTTTAGCCTTGGTTTTTGTTGCTGTCGTTTTTCTGGAGTAGTTCTTAATACACAGAAGCATTTGGTTTGAGGTATTTTTATCTAAAGATATTTTTATCTGTGTTTCTTTAGTTAGATGCTTTTGGGAAATTATTATGTGTTTCAAATAGCATAATTGTATAATGTATGCTCACATAAAATGTTGAGGATAATGTGAAAAGTGCAGCTATGTAATAAAAAGGAGAAATTAATAATTTACCCAAAGTTTGATGGAAAAAATTGGGGGACTTTT